AAATTTTTTCTTTTTGTAGGAAAAAAAAAGTTCTAATTTATAGAAGAGTTTTTCTCTCATACATACACCCCCCAAAAGGCAGCAATTGAATTGAAACAGAATCATTATGAGGAAGGAATGTGTTAGGAGGAAAAAGAAAAAATATAAAGGCAGACTCATATAAATGAACCTAGTTTAGGGCCTTACCAAGGAGACAGCTTAAGTTATCTTTGAAAATGGGTGAGTCGCCCTGCTTGGCTGAGTTTGAATTGAATGTTCCCAAAGTAACATTTCACAAATAGGGATACCCTTCCATTTCACACTGCTCTTTCTCGAAATAGCAACACCATTTAGCAATATTTCATATCAAGACAATTACATTGTAGAATTATTGTAGTCTTAGTGCTTCATTAAAATTAAAAAAAAAAAGTTAAATCCCTGTTTTGTTGAACACAAGAAATGAATAGTAAATATTGATTTAGAATGAATGCAAACATTTCCCTAGGAGTGGATAATTACTGCCTTTCTATGCAAAACACTTATATTTGAAGAAGCACTTCACTTACTTTGCCATGCGGCATACATTCCTTAGTACATTTTAAATTATACGTTGTCCTGGACAGTGTCTGCTCTATAATTTCTTGTGTCTCTACACCAGAGTCAGTATGTAATTTTAAACTACAAAGTTTCTGCCAACTAGTAGAATAGGCTTAACTCTTTCTCTTTGCTGGTTCACAAATCCTTACACGAGGAGATCTGGAAAGCCATAGGATGGATGATCTCAGACCTTGAGCAGTTTGGCCTCTTTTTTGGGCTAGTGGAAATGCCACTAGTAACTGCCCACAGTTTTATAAACCAGAGACTAAATGGAATATAAAATTTATCGACCTAAGCCAGCATACTGTATATTTAAAAAACATAAATTAAATAATTACACTAGAAATGTTGAATGAATGACAAGTGGGATGAATACTTGCCATAAAAGAGTTTCGTTTAAAAAGGGACCATCATATTTTAGAATACATCTTTTGTCAACACTGATTATCTGAGTTTTTTCCTTCTGCCAAGATATTTGCAACTCAGCACTGCCTAAATTATGTAGAGAAATACATTTTAAACATTTCAATATCACCTGGGTATGTGGTGATTTAATTTAAAAATTGATGTTGGAACACTTTTAATTGAGTTCCTAAATACAGAAATATTAAACAGTACAAAGTTATTAAAGATTATGATATTCATCATTTTACCTATAAAAATGCCCTTCCCTAAAATAATAAAAATACTGTGGAATAACTTCATATTAGAAAGCTCAACGTAAATGAAGAAAGCAAAGAAATGCTAAATTTGAAGTCAAGTAACCATGTAGGAGAAAAACAAGGTCAATGGATTGTTTATGTATCTGGATGCAGCAGCGTATCTGGATTCCACAGAATCTCTGTATTTGTAGCTTGTGGGATTTAGTCTTATTTATTCTCCCTGGTTTCAAACAGCATGCAATCTTGGATATATTAAAGTTTTACAATATAGGAAAGATAAATTCTAAGAGAAGCAATACAATTTCAGTGATTATTCCAACTACATATGTACTTTAAAAACATAGATCAAAGTTCTGCCCTTTTGCATGTCATGTGGTATCTTGTGGCATCCACTGTGTTCTCTTATGTTTATATCCTCTCCTGTTATTGGCTTATTTTATAACAACTTGCCTGGTCACAAGAACTGCCTGGGGAGCTCATTAAAAATACCATTCTCAAGACCTTACTCCTGAGAGGCTGACCTGATGATACTGGAACCGGGCCCAGGAAGCTACATTTTTTTAATGCTCCAGATAATTTTTATGATTAAGCTTGATAAACACTGATCTAGACCTTCCCTAAACCATCTTCTAAGCTCAGCTTTATTTTTAATCAGTGTGAGTAGTATTTTCACTGACATACTTCCGGAGAAAAGAGTGAAGTCTACTCCTTCAGCCTGCTCAGTGAGAAAGTCTTCTTAAATGTCTCAGTGTAAAATGAAAGCACAACCAGACTTGACATTAATCCATACCAAAGTAACAGTAATGAGTGCCAGGCCTACTTCTTGATGAAGGTTCTGACAGAGATGTGTTTTAAGGAATGGAAAGGTACTGAATTACTGAAGTGCAGACCGAAAAGGAGGTGGGCACAGTAAATAGAAACAGAACCGAGAAGACTGGATGAAGAGAAAACTGATGCGATGTTGCCTTTGTCAGAAACAAGTCTAAACTCTGCTCTTTGGAGATACATTAAATCCAACAGTCATCTGAGAATAGACTGAATCTTTAGAAGACTATGAATTTTGCTGGTGTTAACTAAAGGGAAACAAAAACAAATGCACACACTAAAAAAACAGAAATGATAATAATTCTGCAGAGATTATAAATAAAGAGAGACAGCACTGGTGAATTTACTAGCACATGGAAACATTTCAAATGTCAGGTTCTATCATACCCAAGTGAATTGAATACAAGCTCCATTGTATCTTTGTGAGCAGTATCAAGAGACGTTCTGAAACAGAATGTTGTAAATATCCTAGATGATGTCAATACTAATGTAAATGATATTGATAAGTATCAAACATACTCACTACACAGTAAATAGTCGAATGTGAAATATCATAAAAGTAATATATGGGTACATTAATGTGTTTGACTTGGTCTATCATACCCCACCCTCTTCTTAACCACTCTAAACAGTGAATTTTATATAAGTAGCTTTTGTCTTTTTACTGCATTCATTGGGAACACAGGTGATAGGGAAGGTGTGAGCAAAATGCCAAGGCTCCTACTGAAAGAAGATACTCTAGACCAGGGTCTAGAATCTAGCCTTTGACACCAGCATTCAGTGAATTTAGGAACTACCTTATTTTTTCCTATCTAAGCCACTACTGATTGTAACACACTTCCCAAGTTCAGAAATGTTAAAAGGTTAAAAGAAAATGTGCATGTCATACAGTAGACTTTGAGGACTCAGGACAAAGGGTGGGAGATGGGTGAAAAATCAAAGACTACACATTGGGTACAGTGTATACTGCTTGGGTTGGGTGTACCAAAATCTCAGAAATCACCACTAAAGAACTTATATAAATAACCAAACGCCACCTTCTCCCTAAAAACTTACTGGAATAAAAAAGAAATTTTTAAAAAAGAAAATGTGCATCTTAGAATAAATAATATGTAGAATTTCTTAAAGTTCAAAAATAAAAACACAGACAGGAAGACTCCTTAGGTTTTTAAAGGCGTTTATCAAATAAACTCAAAACTGGCAAATAAAGGGCTGGGAATTGTCAACCCTTGAGTCAGTCCCCTGGTTACTGGCCCCTGTGAGGATGACATGAGCTGTTGAAGCCACTTTGTCATGGCACAAGGACCTTTGTACCTCTCAGATGAGGCTGTGACACAATGGACAAGAGATATCTTTCAGAGAGCAGGTCTTAGGGCAGCCAGACTGGGGGACCTTGGAAACTGTCTACTATCAGAAGGGAGCAGTCCTGCTACTCCAGTCCAAAAGAATATGGTATATGCCAAGAATTCCCAACCACTGTAAGTTGTTTCCCTCTCTCTCTCTTTTTCTAAATGATAGTTTTAATAAATTTATCCTCTCCTTCCTGCTCCATCATCTATGGAGGGAGTACTTGAAAATACCATTAAGCATTCAGTGAGTGGACCACAGAATTTCCACATCAGAATCAAACTAAAGGCAATTACATGCCTCTCAAAGATCCTAAAGATACACTTGAGATGAAGTAACAGGGCAATATTTTGCTTTATATCTCCTTTGGAAGGGGTAAATATTTTTATAGGATACCGGAGGGTCACATTATTTTAGGCAAGTGCATTACAAAATTATTCCCATATGGAATGTAAATTAGTTCAACCATTGTGGAAGACAGTATGGTGATTCCTCAAGGATCTAAAATCTGAAATACCATTTGACTCAGCAATCCCATAACCCAAAGGATTATAAATTATTCTACTATAAAGACACATGCATATGTATATTTATTGGAGCACTACTTACAATAGCAAAGACATGGAACTAACCCAAATACCCATCAATGATAGACTGGATGAAGAAAATGTGGTACATATACACCATGGAATACCATGCAGCCATAAAAAGGAATGAGATCATATCTTTTGCAGGGACATGGATGAAGCTGGAAGCCATTATCCTCAGCAAATTAACACAGAAACAGAAAACTAAACACAGCATGTTCTTACTCGTAAGTGGGAGTTGAACATTGAGAACACATGGACACAGAGAGGGTAATAACACACACTAGGGTCTGTTGGGGCATGGGGGAGGAAATTTAGAGGACAGTTCAGGAGTTTAGGTGCAGCAAACCACCATGACACATGTATACCTGCACATTCTGCACGTGTACCATTTTTTTTTAGAAGAAATAAAGATCAAAAAGTAATAAACAAAGATATTCACTGAAAAACAGTTATTCTATTATAAAGAAGATTACATGTAGAGAAAAACAGGGCACAGTGGTAACCTGCTGATGTACATCCATTACAGATATTCAGGGTCATGTTTGCCATCATGTGGAGGCAGCTTGTTTAAAATGAATCCATCATACAGGAAAGTAAGTCCTGGAAAAGGGAGGGAGAGAGATTTAAAAATGTGCGTGCGTGTGTGTGTGTGTGTGTGTGAGAGAGAGAGAGAGAGAGAGAGAGAGAGACAAAGAGAGAGACAGAGGATAACAGGCAAGGGGAGGGGAAACATGGCAAGGGTAGAAAAGAGTCCACAGGACAGAATTCCTGGAAACATAAGAAAATATGAAAGACAGATCGAGGTTATTTTTTTTTATCACTGTCAATTTAAAGAGACCTCATTAATACAGAATTAATGGGCTTTTAATTCAGATTTTTTAATAGCTTTGCAAAGATAGGATCGGATAAGAAAACTGTTCTTGGTTTACTGTCTTTAAATCTTAGATATATATATATATATATATATATATATATATATATATATATTTACATTAACTCTTTCCATCCCCTCAACAACTAAATGAAGTACTTACTCCATCTTACAGATGAGAATACTGAGGCTTGGGGAAGATCAATCATTTGCAAGTTCCCATCACCACCTGGGACTGGAACCCAGGCTCTTTGCCATCAATCACCCATGCCTGACCACCTTGCTCAAATCGGGACAAGTATAGTACTTCTAAAATACCAATGAAACTTTTGAATTTATCTTTATCTCCTGCTCAAGTCCAGGATGAGAGAAAAAATCATTTTCCCTCTGCCAACAATACCACTAACATTGCTATATTGACATATTCAGCAAATTGCTTTCACTTAGGAATCATGGTGAGAACTTGCCGCCCAAATACTCAAGACAGTTTTCCAACAAGCCCAAATTCAACTAGAAATAAACCAAAAAATTTCACAAGTAGTAGAAGAGGTGGAACATTATTTTTAAGTCTACTTCAAGATTTATTTCGAGACCTGACTGACCATACTTCTATGTTAGACATTAGGACAGAATGTAATTTGCCTGGCTGTTAGTTCAGCATTGAGCTCAAACTCACCCTTCTCCAGTCCTTGCGGTGGGACACCATTTCAGAAAGCTGACTGTTCAAAGGAATGTTACTTCTGCAAACAGCATTCCTAATGTCAAAGGATAAAGCATCATAGTTGTGAGGAAAGTTGTGCATCTACCAGGAAAATATTCATCAGCCTACCCAGTTGGTCATTCACTTCCCCTCTGGCTGTTTGGACATATTTGAGTACGTATTAAAATACCCACGAGATCCCAAATCTTAATTATAAAGCTTGAGAAAAAACATCCAGTGAAAGCATTTTCAGGTATAAAATTAGAAAGTCCTTTTAACTCCTTTGCCTCAAGATTTACATAACTGTGAGGGCAAAGGAATCACATGATAAAAATACCAGATACTGCAGATTAGAAACGAAAAGTAAACCAGATGCATGCCAGTCTCTTGCTATGACTTCCAGAGGAGACCAAAATTATCGTGACTGAGAGAAGATGTAGCATGGAGAGAAAATCTCCCAGGATAATCAAGGGATACATTTCCCAACTCTGTTTCCCCCCACAGAACTGTTTTGTTTTCTCACATCAATGAGCTAGAATCAAATGTGGATCCCATGATCAAGCTGGCAGAAGTCAAACTCCCTACCTGGATGCTTGCAAATTGTAAATCACAACTTTACAAGGATTTAACTTTTCCCTTTCCAAAATAATCAAATGTTGTGGTGAGGGGGCCACCAATCATGACAAAAAATATACTTCAAATTCTTTCTTTTGGTGCCAAGTCCAATAAGTTCTCTGAGTGAAATTAAATGTGCGATCTTATTCCAAACCACAGCTTCCCTTGGGGATGTGCAAATCTCAAGTGGGGGCCGAAAGGCCAGTTGTATCAAAGCCCAGGGTTACGCCCATTTTTTCAAGGCTTTTTCCCCCCTTTTTAACTACTGCCTGTAGTATAAACGACTCAGGCCCTTTTGCTTTCCAACCTTTGCAGTCAAATTAGCATCTTCATACTTTCCACATTCCGTCTCTAAAAAGCAGGCCAGTCTCTGACTTCTCTTAGATTCTCACAGTTTTTGTTTGTTTAAAAGATTCTCAGCTGAACTCCAGGGAAGCAGGGAGAAAGGAGAGAAAGAGAAAAATATATATGTATATATATCTTTACATATCTGTTACGTTGTAAGCAATTACCAGCTCCATCTCTTCCATCTGCAGTATTACAGGAATTAGAGATGCAAAAGCCCATTAGGTCATTGTGCACATCCTGTGCCCACACAGAGCTTTTGCCTACAGTATGTTATCTCTTCCGAGAGTTTTTCATACGTTTAAAGGGTAGCTAATGATAACATAGTTTCACCTTATTTCTTTTTGCTTCTTTGTTCTGTCCCAACCACAACACACCATTTCTAAGGATGCTCTAGAGTGACTTCCCAAAGGACATTTTTGAATGTCCATGAAAATTTAGAATATTTGTGCTATCCAACAGCTATATTCAGTAAGTTCGGCATGGAAGCATACATAAAAACAAATTTTAAAGAGCCAACATTTAGTCCCAGGATGGAAGTGTTACATATAAAACAATTTTACATAGACATATTCTGTATATCTGGTGCATCATATCATAAATATAACCGTGTTAGTGTGCATACATGTTCACATAAAGTGTGTGCAAATACTCATCATTACCCCAGAGTGTTTCTGTTTCCTAAAACTTGTGCCAAATGCTGTATAATTCACGAAAATGTGATCCAAAATAGTTAAGGTTATGTTTCACACAATTTCTTCTTATCTCTCTTAAGTCATACATTTTAAATGTCAACTTGCATAGGGAAATATTTAATTTCAAGGATAGTCCTCCATCATAAAACTCTTTATCTCTTCCTTAAGTAGTTTTGTTTATTATTCTTTGTTCTTGTTATAAGATAATGGAGTATTTTGACTTACTTTTAATGTGCCAAATCTAGGTATGTCTACCTGTTGGACCACCAGTTTCATCCCTTTAGGAAAAGAAATACAATGTTAGGGGAACCTAGCATGTAGAATGGACACATTGTTTTGTTTTTGAATGGCTACCATCTTAAACCACTGTCCTTAAATACTAACAATAAGTCAAATCAATATTACTATTTGAAAGCTTATTATGTTATTCTGGGACCATAATGAACTCTGATAAAATGTGTATTTTTATTATGCCATATTCTAAGTTATACAGTATTTGTCTAGGTGTAATGCAGGATATATTTTTATTTTTCATAATTCTAATAAGTTAGTCCATCATTGATATGTGTGATAGAAAAAAATTCTCACTGTTCTTACAAAAGGCACAATAGTTCAATAAGCAAGGCCCTGAGACATGAATCACCAAGGTTTAAACTCTTAGTGTACCCTTCACAAGTCTTGTGATTGTAGGCATTATCAGTTATCTTTTATGTTTATTTAGTCAAGTTGTTCATCATATTTCACCAGATATAAGATGTCATCGATCCTAACATTGAGGCTTATTTGATGTACTTGTAAGGAAGTAAAAGCAATGCTAATTAAATGAGACCGTGATGCTTGCTTATCACTTCGATTTCTTTAACACAATATCATTCCATGTGCCAATAAGAACAAGAAGATGCTGTTTCATTTCTCTGAGTACTACACCATTGGCTCTAGGTGGTATTTTTAACCAAATTATTAGAGATTTATTCTGTTAAGTTTTGATTTTACATTTTTTTGATCACAAGGAGTCAATAAAATTTTGAAACAATTAGAAAAATATTTTAAAAGGCAATTATACTCAGCATACATAGTTCTAACAATGCATGTATAACACAATTGAAGTAAAATGTTGCAATCACCTATGATCAAGTGCATGCATTTATAGGCAATGACAACTATGCTATGACTGAGATTATAAAGTGCCATCAATTGTAGGACGTATCCTGAGATCAGAGATGGGGATAGATAGATAGGGGGAGAAAAAGAAGGCACCATAAAATTGGACCAACTCCTATGTGCTTTAGTTTCTTTATTGGTAAATTAAGGAATATAATAACATCTAGCATAGGATTTCTGGAAAAATTGAATAAAACCAACACACTGGACACACAGGAGGGCCTCAATAAATATTAGCAGCTATATAATTTTTGCTGTTACTGTTCTAAATGCTTAAACAATGAGTATCATAAGGAAGTGTGGTAGCATTCAGTGATTTTCAACTGGAAAAACAGAGACAGGGATTGTGAAAAGGGTAGTGTCTTTTCAAACTTTTGTTCTCCATTTTTCTTATGCATTGCCCTTGAGAAAAGAATTGTGCCTCTTCCTCAGGCCCTCAACTCCGCTAAGGATTTCTGCCCCATCTTAGGAAACCGCTACCATAGGTAAGATTATACAAAGTCTAAGGTGAGTTATAGATAGAAAGTATTGAACAATTTTTAGAATCAAGCAGACAAATTTTTCTTTTTTGGGGGGGTGGGGGTGGATAGAGTCTTGCTCTGTCACCCAGGCTGACGTGCAGTGGCACAATCTCGGTTCACTGCAACCTCCACCTCCCAGGTTCACGTAATTCTCTTGCCCCAGCCTCACAAGTAGTTGGTAATACAGGTGCAAGCCACCATGCCCAGCTAATTTGTGTATTTTTAGTAAAGATGGGGTTTCACCAAGTTGGCCAGGGTGGTCTCAGTCTCTTGACCTGGTAATCTGCCTGCCTTGGCCTCCCAAAGTGCTGGGATTACAGGCATAAGCCATTGCACCCGGACTAAATTTTTCAAATCTTGAGTTAGCTACTAACCAGTTGGGTGGCCTCAGGCAAATTTAAGATCCCTGGGCCTCAGGGACTCCATGTGTAAAATGATTTAGTGATACAACTTACTTAAGTGTGAGAATTAAATAAGATAAAGTATTAGAATGCTCTCCATGACACTTTCACATAGTAAACACTAAACACATTTTCATTATTTTCCTTAATTTGCCAAGAATCAGTGATGATAATTTTTAACAAACATGATTATTTAAAAGAGAAAAGCATCAACTGAGATTATAGAAAATAAAAGAAGCAGAGATTAAGGATGAAACTAATAGTCTTAACAAAAGCTTTATTAACAAGTAAAGGTTTACTTATGAAATTAGTGATCTATGGTTTAAATAATACTCTTTAAAAAAAAAAGAGCCTAAGTTATCCACAAAACAAATGTAAACAACAGGGGAACTCAATTTACTCTATGTAGGGAAAGATTAAATTTGTGAACGTTAGAGGAAGAAAGTTTGAGCTCCAAAACCCATCCGATTCTTCCCCACCCTCACTGGGGAAGCTTTGGCACTTGTTATTCCCTCTATACAGGGTTCTTCTCATGACTGATTTCTTGGACTCTTCCCTTCCTTCAAAACATACTTTTTGAGCACTGTGGTTTAATGAGGGTCCCCCATTAAGCCTCTTACAGAACCTTGCTTATTTACTTCATTACTATAACAATAATAATCAGTTATTGTGTCATTTACTTATTTGGTTAGCCGGTGAATCAGAGAGCAGCATGATATAGGGGTTAAGTGCATGGGCTGCAGCACCATCATGACTGCTTTAAACCCTTGCTCTGCCACTTTATTAACTGCTTCTCTTTGGCAAGTTACTTGTGCTGTCTTCGTCACCTGTAACAGGAAAAGTAATAGTTTCCATTTGATAGGCTTCTTGTAGGAGTAAATGAATTAACATATGTAAAGCACCTACTAACTGACATGTATGTGATGCCAATAAATGCTAGGTGCTATTGTTTTATTATTATCCTTCTTTGTGTTTCAATGCCTTGCTTAATTCCCGGCAAATAACTGGCACTCAATAAATGCGTATTAAAGCAATGAAAGAATAAATATTCTGAGGAATGTTCCTAAGAGACATTCTCCTAATGAGACCTCCAACAATAAGACAGGTATCTCTTTGAGGGCGTAATTCTCTCTTAGTTAACAGAATTGCTGAAAGAACTTTTAGAAAGATTTTAGAATTCATTCTCCAATTGCAAAGGAGATGTAACTAGTGACTCACTAAGGTATTTTTTAACTAGAAGATTCTGATACTGATCTAAGGTAGCTCTCACTACCTTCCTTCAGAGGGTTCTACTTTACTCAAAGACAAAATAAAGGTTTTTGACTAAATAATCTCTAAGCTCCATCCTCTCTAGCAGTATAGGGTTCTATGTGAGAACTAATCTGTTACTATAGGCATTACATTTTTCCTGCAAAAATTTCCATAAGAGAAATTGGCTCAAATAGCACGTAAACAAGAGTTGTTCTTCCCCACGGCCAAGGAGCCTAAACCACCATTGACTATTCTGTAGTCATTGCCATTTGGTGACTGGAACATCAACAGTCCATAGTCCATGCCTCCTCTTTCCACTATTATATTCTCCTTCACTTTTCATCTTCTGCAGCAATACAGCCTAGCCCTGTGCAGCTCCACAGCAGAGGCATTTCTGCCCACACATCTATGCAGAAACCAGAGCCAGAAAAGCCCTATTAGGTCATGCAGACCACACCCCTTTTAGAGCAGGAGCGTCCTCTCCAACTGACATTTCAGCTCCTCTTCTGCCTCCAAAATGTGGTTGTATTTCAGTGGTTCCTGTACATGGTTTGAATAACAGTTTATAAGCATTCTGGGGTCCCTTGAAAATAAAGGTTCCATATAAAGTTATATTGTTATTTTATTTATTATAAAAGTTTTTTTGTTCTTTTTTAATCTTCCTGGGAATAGTCACAAGAACATTTCTCAAAGAGGAAATTGTACCAGCAAGTATTTTGACCTGATTTTTATCAAAACTGATGGCCTTCCAGAACTTGGTTGATTAATACCCTGGCTGCCCCACTGTAAATGTGCAATAGAAAAATTAGCTTTTAAAGCAATTAAAATATTATTTAAAGTACTATGTGTTAATTACTGCTAATGTATTTACTCACATTTCCCATGAGTTAAAGTATATATTTATTGTCAGTGTAAATTCTGCTTATTTTTAATCATATAACAATGCTTCATTGCCTTTGGATATGAAGACCTATAACTGTTAGTTTGCTAGATGTTCAACATTTTGAAAATGTTCGCTTGTTTTACTTTGCTGAACAATACAAATCCAACTTAGCATTACTCTAGGTGACAAGAAATTCAACTGATTAATGCAAATTTCAAACGCCACTGGGGATTCAACCCAAATCCTTGGCCATCAACCAGCCATTCCCTTGGCTCAAGGACACGTTCATTATTTCTTTGTTAGTCAGGGCACATGGGGTTGAGAAACGAACATCCTAGACAATCATCACCAGTAGCTCCTTGCATGATACTTATGGCTTTCTTGTTGTAAAAAGTTTAAGTCACACAGCCTGAGATAATCCTGATTTTTACCACACACACAAACAAAATTAGCAACATCATACCTGTTTTACAGTTGAAACCCCGATTGTGGCCACTGGTCATTGTTACTCAAGGCATAGAGATGGAATCAGAGAAGAGCCGAAATCTGTCTACCAAGCTCTACCTCATAATTGTATTCACAAGCCCACATTTTCTTAACACTGAATTGGAACAGAAAAGCACCCCACAAAATGTAAAGTGTTATTCAAAGGTATACCAGAAGTTGGGGAGTGGGAACGGTAGCTCACACCTGTAATCCCAGCTACTTAAGAGGCTGACACATGAGAATCGCTTGAATCTGAGAGGCAGAGGCTGCAATGAGCCAAGATCAAGCCACTGCATTCCAGCCTGGGCGACAGAGCAGGACTCTGTCTGGGAAAAAAAAAAAAGAAAAGAAAAAGGAGAAGGAGAAGTGGATTAGTTGGTTTTCCCCATCTGCCCCTCTATTTAAAAGGGATGATTGCAAGGAGTGGTGCTAAACTCAATATATGCTTAAGAAATTGCTATCATTTTAGATAATTCAATAGATCATACGTTTATCAGTGACATTCTATGAGCTAAATATAATTTTATGATTTCAAAAAGGCTGCTGTTCATATTAGAAAGCCCTGGGTAACTATT